TATTTTATATAAGATTATATTTATAAAATAAATATATTAAATATAATTGTTCATGTATAATTAATTTTAATATATTATAAAGTAGTATTTTAGCATTAACATTTTATCTATTTAATTTCTTTAATTTTAATTATTATATGTGTTGTATGTTTATTTAGTGTATGTTTTAGATTTTTGTATATATAATCTTGATTAATATATATAATATTGTTTTATGGTATATTTATTCATCTTAAATACTATTTTGTACTTATAAATATTTACAAATTCTGTATAATAATAGTTATGTAAAAATAATTTTTTTAATTTTTTGGTGGAAAATAATATACATATATCCATTTAGAGTTAGAACTATTTTCCAGTGCTTGGCATTGGAAAATAGTGTTATATGTCCATTTAATGTAAGAACTATTTTTCAACGCTTAGCGCTAGAAAATAAGTGGTAACGGCAACTTGAAATGGGTTGCCGTTATCCTTTTTTTCCAATGCAAAGCCCTGGAAAATATTAGTAAAATTTTTCCAGCACATTTTTTGTGCTGAAAAATAACTATTTTCCACACGTTTTGTTTCCATCAATATTCTCCGGTGCAGAACGCTAAAAAATAATAATTTTTTAGCGCATCTTAAGTATTTTTCAATGCAAAATGCGTTGACAAATAGGCTTTTTTTGTAGTAGTGTAACATTGAGGCTCTTAAAAAGTCTCGTCAAAAATTACTCTAGCTAACTTTATGCTATTCAACTAATATCCCTAAATTCATATAAAAAAATAACAATTTGAAAACGAAAATGGGGGGACGACCTCTTGTAATGGGAATGAGTCTTCTAATAAGAAACTTAATCTAGCACCTAAAGTATACGTGTTTGGTTACGTTTGCCCTGTACTCAACCTAACAAAACTGCTCGAAAAAAATAGAAATTGATATGTAAGTTTGTGCTTTCATTTGAGCCTAAAGTAAAGTAAAAAAGCGTGTCCCAAAATTAAGGAGAATGTTATGTTAACTTCTTTTAACTATAGCGAAATTTATTAGCATAAAAGGGTTACATTTATGTCTTTTTCAAGAAAGTTCTCTACAAAAAATCATCGCACGAATTTTTATGTGATACTTTTTTATAATATATAAATAATAATTTTAAAAATTTTTAATATAAAATTCTTATTAAGTAGTATTATTTTATAAAAAAAGTTCAAATTATCTTTTATATTCTATAACAACATCTCACCTAAAATACGTGTAAAAAGTACCATAAGAGTTTTCTTAACATGTACCATAAGAGAGTAATACTACTAAAAAAAGCTATTTTTCAGCACATTGTAAACTAAAAAAATACTCAAAATGTATTGAAAAAATGCTTATTTCCCAATGTTGTGCGCTGAGAAATGTTGATGAAAAACATTATTAGAAAACAATATATAATCGACAAAAATATAATTGATAGTCAAAAAATTATTGATTATACTTGTATCATCGATAAAAATCTCTATTGATTATAATAAAATGTTGATTATATAAATATAATCGATAGCTAATAGTAGCTGTTGAATATACTGACTATAATTGACAACCATTTCTGTTAATTATAGCAAGTGTAATCGACAAAAATAATTGTTGATTATACCTCCTACTATAATTTCATATATATATATATATTTAGTAATAAAAATTTAACACTATCAAATATGAAATTATTTTTAACTAATATTATACACATATATTTTAATTAAATTATCAATTCTAATACTAAATATTTATAATTAATTTAATTATTATATATATAATATATAAAAGATTAATTAAAAATAATCTTACATTTGATAGTGTTGAATTTTTATTATCAAATTTATAATTTATAAGTTAATTAAACATTTATATTTTAATAGTTAACTTTTCACTAATATCATTTATAAATATGTTATATGTCTTATAAATTATAAATTTAATAATAAAATTTAACATTATCAAATGTAAGATTATTTTTAATTAATTTATAATTTATAAGTTAATTAAACATTTATATTTTAATATTTAACTTTCCACTAATAGCATTTATAAATATGTTATATGTCTCATAAATTAT